ACTAGATCAGGACTGGATCAGGACTAGATCATGCCTGGATCAGGACAGATTCAGGACTGGATCAGGACTAGATCAGGACTAGATCAGGACTGGATCAGGACTAGATCATGACTGGATCAGGACAGATTCAGGACTGGATCAGGACAGAATCAGGACTGGATCAGACCTGGATCAGGACAGATTCAGGACTAGATCATGACTAGATCAGGACTGGATCAGACCTGGATCAGGACAGATTCAGGACTGGATCAGGACTAGATCAGGACTAGATCAGGACTGGATCAGGACTAGATCATGACTGGATCAGGACAGATTCAGGACTGGATCAGGACAGAATCAGGACTGGATCAGACCTGGATCAGGACAGATTCAGGACTGGATCAGAACTAGATCATGACTAGATCAGGACTGGATCTGGATAGATTCAGGACAGATTCAGGACTGGATCAGACCTGGATCAGGACAGATTCAGGACTGGATCAGGACAGAATCAGGACTAGATCAGACTGGATCAGGACAGATTCAGGACTGGATCAGGACAGATTCAGGACTGGATCAGGACAGATTCAGGACTGGATCCGGATAGATTCAGGACTGGATCAGGACAGATTCAGGACTGGATCAGGACTGGATCAGGACAGAATCAGGACTGGATCAGGACAGAATCAGGACTGGATCAGACCTGGATCAGGACAGATTCAGGACTGGATCAGAACTAGATCATGACTAGATCAGGACTGGATCTGGATAGATTCAGGACAGATTCAGGACTGGATCAGGACAGATTCAGGACTGGATCCGGATAGATTCAGGACTGGATCAGGACAGATTCAGGACTGGATCAGGACTGGATCAGGACAGAATCAGGACTGGATCAGGACAGAATCAGGACTGGATCAGACCTGGATCAGGACAGATTCAGGACTGGATCAGGACTAGATCATGACTAGATCAGGACTGGATCAGACCTGGATCAGGACAGATTCAGGACTGGATCAGGACTAGATCAGGACTAGATCATGACTGGATCAGGACTAGATCAGGACTGGATCAGGACTGGATCAGGACAGAAGCAGGACTTGATCAGGACTAGATCAGGACTAGATCATGACTGGATCAGGACTAGATCAGGACTGGATCAGGACTGGATCAGGACAGAAGCAGGACTTGATCAGGACTAGATCAGGACTAGATCATGACTGGATCAGGACAGATTCAGGACTGGATCAGGACAGAATCAGGACAGATTCAGGACTTGATCAGGACTGGATCAGAACAGATTCAGGACTGGATCAGGACAGAATCAGGACAGAATCAGGACTGGATCAGGACAGATT